TGGGGCGGTTGTTGGGCAATTATTGGGCGATTGTGGGGTCGTAGTATAGTGAGGTGATTTTTGGGGGATTGTTGGGCGATTGTTGGGGGATTGTTGGGTGATTATGGGAGAATGTGGGGTTATTGTTGGGCGATTGTGGGGCGGTTGTTGGGCGATCATTGGGCGATTGTGGGGTGATTGTTGGGGTGATTATTGGGTGATTGTTGGGTGATTAGAGAAGATGTGCTGGGAAGCACAAGGTTGGTGGTTTGATTCCAGGCTGCCCCATGTTCCATGTCGAAGTGTCCCTGAGCAAGACACCTAACCCCTAATTGCTCCCCAGGCAAAAATGTGATGTAAGTCGCTTTGGATAAAAGCGTCTGCTAAATGACCTGTAATGTAATGTAATGATTGTGGGGTGATTGTTGGGCGATTGTTGGGCGATTGTGGGGTGATTGTGGGGTGATTGTGGTTTGATTGTTGGGCGATTGTGGGGTGATTGTGAGGTGAAGGGCTGTCAGTTTTTAAGCGTTGTGTATTCAGGAAGTGAACATCACTTAGATGCTAGAGAAACAAACACAGGACTTTGTTCCCCCTGAAAATGTCCACCTGAAGTACTTTTGTTACCTAAATATATTCGATCACAGAAACAGAATCTGGATGATTCGTTTTTTTAATTCATCGATTGTTGTCGGCTCGAATGAGCCAAACATTTAATGGCTGGAGCGAAACACAAAAGAGATTAAAGGAGGAAGAAATGAAAGAGAACACAAGGAGGGGGAACTATAAAAGGGCAGGAAGCGCTCGGTGAGGAGCTGACGAGGTCGGACGGATGTCAGATGTCAGCTGTGGTACGAAAACATGACAAAGGAAAGAAAAGAAGTGATCAACAGGTAAAAACAACAAGAGGAAAGGAGCTGATAAAGTATTGATGGAGGCAAAAGTGGGTCGATAAAACATCCAAGAGAACAATCTCCAGAGATTGTGAAGGACGTGAATAAATCATCACGTCAATTAAATATGAATGTAATATAAATGATGTAAAGGTGGTAAAGAATGTGAAGAAGTAACTGGGAAAGTGCTTTTTCAGGTGGACTCATCGAGGTGTGGAACAAAGAGCGGTGAGGGGACACAACAATGTGGACAGTTGTTTAAATGCCAGGTAGTGTGGACACATTGTTAAGACTTTTTAGTTAATGAATTAGTTCATTTTATTTAGTTTTCATGCTGCGGCCCAGCTGGGTGCTTTGATTCCCTCTGGATGCAGGACGCTCAGTTCAGGTCAAGGTGGAAAAAAACACCAAGAGATCTTTGTTCAGACTGTGACTGTGTGAAAGTGTCACCTGTGGTTCCTCCGGAGCTCCGGCCCGTACAGGAAGTGCTCCTGGCTCACGGTGATGTAATGAGTGGGGAGCTGCTCTGATTGGTTCTTGCTGATGGTGACCACGGGGTAGCCCATTTGCAGGGTCCACCTGTCCATCATCTTCCCGATGTCGATGTCCCGCCCCTCCGAACGCATGGCCTGGAGACAAGCAGCCAAGACAGATAATCAATGATTCATCCACCACCAAAAACCTGGTAAAAAGGTAAAAGGCACTTAATTATATCAAACATGACAGTAACAGGAGCCCTGATTGGCTGATAGGAGCTAATTAAAGGAACATTAATAACTAGGATGAACCCGAATCTAACCAGATAAATGAGCCTCGCTTCTGCTCAGGTTACCGTGACAACGGGACCTCCTCATTGCCAACGTCCACAGTCAAAGGTTACCTGAGACAATTTGCTCCACAGGTCGTCTCGGGCCGCGTTGCTGTACATGTGACTCAGCAGATAATCCTGAAAAGAGGGAAGGAGATTAAAGAGTTAAAAGACAGGATGTGACATCACTTGGTGGACCGCGGCTTAAACGACCTGCAGCTCCGCTGTCCACGGTAGTCAAATGTTTACGCTGCACACACACACACACACACACACACACACAGACACAGACACACGCGCTGATCTGCTGCTGGATCAGCAGTGTTTTATATAGAGTCTGCCTCTCAGTGGGTTTCTGCAGAGAAACCAGGGCATAGTGTGTGTGTGTGTGTGTGTGTGTTGGTGTGTGTGTGTGTGTTGTGTGTGCACGGGGAATCATACATATTTCACTGCCTCTCCTCAGATTAAAAGCTATATTTAACCTACTCTCACCTTACATCACATGACATCATCTTGCAGGATCTCCTCCAACCTCCTGGATAAAATCCTGCTTTGTTTCCGTTGATTTTCAGTTCCGGCTTCGCCAACGACGTCGTCGTCGTGACTAATCAGGGAGAACGTGAGCGGCCCCACGCGGCCGATGGACCAATGAGGCAACGCGCCGCTCATTCACGCCACTGACGTTCTCCTCGCTGTCTGTTAGCGGCTCGACGCGAGACACAAGCCTCCAACCCTCCAGAGCAGAAGTGACTCAAGGACACAAAGCTCAGATCTGCTCCTCGCTTTTCTCTCTGATTCATGTTTCATCACTTTGTACAACAGCCAAACCTCCTTTTTCTCCACCAAGGATCAATGCTCAGAGTTCTGCTTTGAACTTGTCCCCAAGTAGACGGAAGTGGAGCGACAGAAAAGTGAAAATCATTCCAAGGAACTTCTGGTGCTTCATTAAAGTGAAATGTTCTGCTGTCACTCTGCAAACGTCCCCACAGCTCAAAATCCCACATCTGTGCGTCAAACGGATCACCGGAAGCCGGCGAGCGAGATTAGCAGCTTACATGTAGTCAAATGAAATAAAGAACGTTCGACTATCGTAGTATTAAAACGCTTCCAGTACGAAAAAACGCAAACACGGTAAGTCAACTGCTATTTGTTATAAGCAAATAACCTTATCAGCGTCGCTAATTAAATAATTGTGTGACTTGCGTGTGTAATATAAATATAGGTCCAAAAACCTCCTGAATGAACTCGTGGACATGCAAAGCCTCTTTGTCCTCACATCTCCTTAAGCTCAACTTCGTGGTGTCTCGTGGAATATTTAATACCGGTTCTCCTGGATGGAGTCCAGGTCACTGAGTGTGTTTTATCATATTGCTTTACAGCAGAAAGAAAAAGCAAAAGCCAGATTAATTTACACATCGGCCATCTGAGGGCTCAGCGTGCTACAAACAATACGGGTTTAGCCCAAATCTGGATGCACAAACACTTAAACACGCAGCGTCTGTCTGAGTCACAGTGACAAACGATTTTCAAAACCTCGGCTGTCCCTCTTGTCGTTCATTTAGAAAAGACGTGCACAGGTGGACAACGTCAACTCACATTCAGTCCCTTCTGGAAGAGCGTCTGTCCCATCACGTTCGCCAGCATCCGGATCAACGCCGCCCCCTGAAGGCCGCGCAGAGAAACGCGCTTTCAAAAACAGGTGAAAACACGCTCTCGACTGTTAACGCCACACTGACCGATGACGTCGGTTCATAAAACTTTTCCACAGTGGAGAACGACACCAACGTTGGCTACCGGAAGTAAAGTATTCTAATGATTGCAGCGTGAATAAGGAGAAACAGCGTTCATTTTTAGTGCTGAATTTGTTTGACTTCCCGTATATTTTCTTCAAAAGCACATTTTAAATCCTTTAGTCTGCTTCTTTGGGAAATATCGGTTTTGGTTTCCGAAATATTAAATATTATACTGTGCGCTCTGTGCGGCAAAGTAGCTTCAACAGCTTTGAGTTAAACTTAAGCGAACTTTACCGTGGACAGCAGTTGACCCCACGTTGCCGTAATTTCACTCATTTGGACAGTAAATACTATTTAACAATTAGATAACGCAATTACAATTCAGAGAAACAGTTTCATTACCTTTAACAGACGTAACTCGTTACTGTAAATAATTACACATTTTCAGTGGTTTGCAAATGAAAAATGGCTTAATGGTTCAGACTTTGGAGGGAACAAAGAGCCGGAGAGGACTCACTTTTTTGTAGGCAATCCAGTCAAAGACTCGGTCGATGTCCGCCGCCTCTTCCACCTCCTGGGAAATCGGGTGGGAGGAATTAAGCCCGTCCAATTGCATCACCTCATGAAGGACATCCGTCAGGAAGCGCTGCTTCTCCTGAACACATGACATTACATTACATGTCTTTTACCCAAAGCCACTTACAATGAGTGCATTCAACCATACGGATACAAGAAACACACCAAAACACACACATGTTAGCTTTTGTCTTTTAAGGAAACAATGTGTTGACACATTCTCTGGATCGAAACCTTTGAATCTTATTCTGATCCAAAACCATAACCACACATTTTAAGCCTGAAACATAGTAGTCAGATGATGGTCAAGCACCTAATGGACGACGTTGGTGACTTTTTCTCTCCAGCTCAGCTCTTACTTTGATAAGGAGTCATTCAGTGGTTCATTAGGTCATTCATCCATTAGCTTTAATGGTGTCATTAACCTGGTTCATTTGTAGATATTGAAATATCTGTTTATCGTTTTCATTTGTTTTTTATTGACTTCTCACTAGTTACCGTTAATTCTGCGTCTTCTCATTTCCATCGCTTCGTTTTTCATGGTTGTTCTCTTCATTCGTTTGTTTTCACCGCTTCTTTCTTCATGTCATTTAATCCGCATTTCCTCTTCTGCCTGCTTTAATTTTTGATTCTCTCCTTTTCATAAATCCTCTACTTCTTTCCTCCCCTCCAATCATTCATTCCCGTTCCTCCTGTTCCTCCTGTTCCTGTTTCATCTTCTCCCCTCCTCTACTTTCAGGGTTTTAATAGATATGTGCAAACACGTAGAGCTGTAACGAGGTCTACATAAATTACCCTTGGGATCAGGCTAAATCCGTAGAAGTACGGCTCTGTCTAATTCATGGATTACAGTGTTTACTATGAAGATTTGGTTTTAATGAACTACCATCTTGTTAAGCAATGGCATTGTTGGCTTACGAAGTTTTAGTCGTTAATAAACTGGATGAACAGGAAGTTCTTCTATATTCACTGTATCTGCTGGGATCTGGCTAATTCTTGGTGTAGCGTGGCTCTGTGTAATGAATGGTTTAAAGTAGATTTGGTGTTAAATCCAGTTAAACATAACTTTCTTTTACAGTTTGCAGCGCCGGCTGGGACAGGTTACTTCTTGACAGATGGGTCTATTTTAACCTGCAGGAAATATTCACCTCGCTCAAAAGCATTAGAATGAGTTCAAACGTACGAATGTAAATAGCAAGAAACCAGATCTAACATCTGGTGTCAGATGGTGTCGGCGGGTCGTGAAAGTTCCTTGTTTGTGCCTGAGAACGAACCCACTGATTCTGTGGTGACACCGTCATAAAGTCCGAAAACACACTTCTTAACAAAAGCAATATGTTTTATTTCTCACAGTGTCACACCCGTGCAACCTGTTCTGTTTCATAATTGTGTGTACTTCTTTGATGGTGTATTTGTTTGGGACCCTTTTGAGTCCTTTTAAACAAGGATTCCATCCATTTCTCAAAGGGCTGCGCCGCAACACCGTTTTTCTGTAAAGGGTTTTGCATTAAAAAGCATTTTGCGAAGCCTCCAGCAGAGAGGAGCTCTCTTGTAGTCTGATATTTACGGAGCACAGAACACAGCATTAGCATGAGAGCGCTCCTCTTCGTCGGTGTACCAACCATCATTTACCAAAGGAACATACAAATGTGACTTTTAGTTAGTTAGCTCGTGGTTAATCTGGGGTTTGTGAAGATGAAAGGAGGTAACTGGGGTTATTTGGGTGTAAACTGGGGGGCTGCATCCCATTGGCTGGATTAAAGCTGAAAACTGGATTGCAGCTGGCTGGCGTCTGCAGAGCCTCCAGCAGCACTTTGAACCCAAATATTTGTCGGATAAATCTGTTTCTTGGCCGACGGGAGTGAATGTGAGTAATTCCTGATCCCTCCCTTCAAATGATTGGGAGTAATTCCTGGGCTGAGGACGGAACGCCGCTTTTCATTTCGGAGGCCGACAGATGCACAGGTAAACAGGGTGCATCGTGGGACTCCACAGATTACACACTCAGCTAATTAGTTAAATGGAACATTTGGACACAACAGAAATGACTCGCAAGGAAGACAAATCTGAGTAAATGAGACATCAGCTCTAATTAACAAAGACTGAAAGTCACCTGGAGAGAGAGGGGGGGGGGGGGGGTCCATCTGCTCCACGTGGCCATGATGGACCAGAAGGACCCACATGTGGAGGTCGTTGTAAACACTCGCACACACAGATGGAGGGACGTCTGCTCTTTACTCCATCCCTCCTCTCCTGCTCTTTACTCCATCACTCCTCTCCTGCTCTTTACTCCATCACTCCTCTCCTGCTCTTAACTCCATCACTCCTCATAGTAACCCTCTACTGTTTATCTCAGACTGGTGTTAAAGCTGTTTGGTATAACTGTTGGCATGGTTGGTATTTATTAGTATAAACGTTGGTATGGTTGGTATTTATTAGTATAATACTATTTATTGGAATAACTGTTGGTATTTATGTCATCGGAGGTCGGCTCCAAACCAATTATCTCTGAACGCGTCCTTTGTCCTTTTTTGTGATGGCCAGATGCGATACGCTTACTTACCCGATAAGTGCTTCCCTTCTTCACCTTTGATTACCCCTTAGGGTTGTACGGTTTGACAGTTTGTATTTTGGTGCACCCCCCCCCCTCCCCTATAAGAGTTTTAAAGGTGTGAAAGATACAAAAAAAACAATCAGAGGGAGACTCCACGAATGTACGAGTCATCTTTTTGGGTGGTGTAATTTTTAGGCTGCAGATTGTTGGCAAAAAAACCAACGTAGTTGGTGCTAGAAATACACCATTTATCTGAAAATGAAAATGTAAGGTACACATGTCACAAAAACATGACTGAACTTTGGGCTTCTCAGGGACTCTGGTCCCCTGAGTCAAAGTCCTGTGTTCGTTTCAGCAGCATTCAATAACATTTAATGTCAAAAACAACGCGTTTCCTTTTTCTCGTTTTCCTGTTAAAACGAATTGACTTTAAATAACCAACGACGCGGAACAACACACACTGTTTTTTTTCGTCGATCGGAGTTTAATTTCCCATGATTCCTCTGCTTTTGTTCCTTCTCCCGCAGCGCCGCGACTCAATGAAAGCTGGTGTTTCAAACAATCTGCTTCATCGGGATCGAAGCGCTTTGTTCGTATTAAAGTGCAGCTGTGCAGAGGCTGCAGCGTCGTGTGCGCGGGAGATAAGACGCAACAAGTGGAATCACAGCGCCGGTGGAAGCAAAGAGGAAGAGTGCTGTGATTCAAAGGTGTCGTTGAGTTGGACCCGTCGGGGAGGTGATTGTGTTTTAATGTGATTGTGATTCGAGCTGAAACCAGTGTGAAACAATCTGTTCAACCCGAGCAGCATGAAACTAAACTGGACGTCATCCGCTGCGGCTCGGAGGCTGTGGATCATCTACACTCAGAGCAGCAGCAGTCGGGACCTCCTCCTACTCAGAAGACACTTTTATCTTTCTTCTCATAAACAGATGCTGTTCATTGGTTATGTAAAGATTTATAGAGAATTTTAAGAGAAGCCAAGAGGCAGCAGATCAGCAGAAAGGAGGATTATGAAACTATAGAGGATCATTTCATCTGAAAAATGCAAAGCCAACAATGTTGGAAAAGATGTTTTTTTTTGTGCTCCTCAACATAGAAACACCACAGCGCCATGAATTATTTGACAATCCTTTAGGTTCCTGTAGGTCTACGTTGCTTAATGGCTGTAAATAATACAGTAACCAGCTGACCTTTCTTTGGATGAACAGTCAGTCGCTTTGGTTGGCAACCATGGCAACGGAATTCTAAAACACAGCCGATTTAAACCGACATGCTTCCCTTTATTTGGCTCGGTGGACCGAACAATGCAATTCAAAACCATGTGATTGGATGATTCGAACCAACGTTCACCTTCAACTTTGAGTATAAAATGTAGGTCTATCGATATGTATTCATCACTGTCAACAGATAGACGTGTAAAATGAGTAAAACCAGGGGAACAAAGTGTTGAGTGATTCCTCCGCTAAACCGTCGATCTCCATTAAAAATGGTCCCTACTAACACACCAAATGTCAAACACTCAAAATGTGGATTAATCCGCCGCAGAAAATAGTTCCCCGCAAATACCCTATTTTCTGTTTGTTTGAAAAAAAACACAGTAAGCAACTGTTAATCAAAGACAAGAGACTTTTGTGAGAGTTATACATACATATCTATATGTACATATATGTATATATGGGAGAAGATGAACTCTTCAGGGGGAAGCAGTTTGTTGTGGCTCAGCGCCACAGACAGGAAGTAAGATGGCATTGAGAGGGAGGGATTAACACATCGTGGCTTTTGATTGGTTGACAGTAAGAAAAGGGTCAGAAAACCCCGTCTCTGTCCTCTCCGCAGTGGTTTCTAACAATGCAGATGTTTTCCATTTACTCTGCACAATGGCTTTTGTTTCCTGGGGATAATCTTCAGGCCTCATTCCATCGGAAACGATTCTCCGCGTCACTAGAACGTCGCCGATGGCAACAATCCCAAGACGGATCCTCCACTTCTCACCCGCTTTATATTTAACATCTCAAGTCGGTATCTTTTATAAAATATCTGTTTTCATTTGATTCAACCCTCCGTGAAGACAAAATAAAATAAAATAAAGTCCACATCTGACGGCCGAGTTGAACTTCTAAACTCACCGGAGAGAAGGAGAGTTATTGATAAAAGGTTATTTCACTCACCATGTTCCACTTGGGGAAGAGGAAGTCGGTGCCGACGTACTCGAAGAAATGAGCGAAGCCTTCTTTCAACCAGACGTCCTCCCACCAGACCGGAGTCACCAGATCACCGAACCACTGGGAGACAGAGCGGGGGGGTCACGTGATGCCCCCTCAGATTGAATTCGTTTGTTTGAGAAAAGCCGACTGGTTCAAACACAACAGGAAATACATCCGATTTTCATTCATCCGAGTTATTTGTGAATACTTTGCTTTATTTAGTTCCCTCAAACTGATTTTAAAAAGTCAAGACCTTTAAGCATTTTAAGATAATAAACACGGAAACCTCCAAGACCAGACAGATCGGTGGTGGAGACCTGTCAATCGACGTGTAGCCCCGCCCTAAAGCGTCCCATCCTTTCTGGTCTGTGTGACTCTACATGGACCGTAGTTCACTAAATCAACCTCATGCTGTATTGAAGAAGACTTGAAACTGAAGACTGAGACCATAAACTTATAACGTTTACTGAGGGAATAAGTCGTCTATGGGACCAGAGGAGGTCCGACGGGATGCTCAGAGCCTCGTCGGGGCGCCGGGTGCTGGGCGGGTGGCAGAGGAGCTTAAAAGAAGAAGAGTTCACCCCAGAATTCACCTTAAATCGAAGGGGCCACGCTGCAGTTTCACACCATGGCCCAGTGTGTGTGTGTGTGTGTGTGTGTTTCCACACGTGCGCACTAACTCCCTCCCCTGTTTGGCGGGTCGAGTGCGTCCGGGCAGGGATTCAAACCGACCACCCCGTGGGAGCTGGCGGGCCGCTCGGCGGAGACCAAACAGCAGATGATGCTCCGCTGACGGAGGAAAAGCTCCTCTCAATAATATCTCGTTTTTGAATATTTCATTCATGTAATAGAAGCAGGCTGATGAGGTGACAGCATCATTTACTCACTTCGTTCACTCAGGTTAAATATCTATATACTTTGTATCTAAACTCAACACGCTGGCACAATAAATGAGACGTCTGCATGTGATGGATTTCGCTGCAGAAATGACTTCAGGTCCATAAATGAGGAGGACGTTTTATCAGATAAATGTCAGCGACATTTTTAGTTGAATTATTCAATTCGGATCAAGCAGGAGGAAAAAGTCACCTTTCATCTTTTTGATTTTTTCATTTAACATGACGGTTCGCGTTTGATTCCTGTCTAATGGGACTAATGTTGGAATCGGGTCGGTAACGGCCGTCCTCCAATCGGACCCGGCTAACCCGCATGTCCACGCGTCCTCGAGCCAGACACTTAACCCCACATTGCTCCTGCAGTGTGAATGGCAGGACCTGGTGGCTCTGTGTGTGGTAGCTGCTGTCATATGTGTGGGAATGATGTCGCGTAGTGTCAAAGCGCTTTGAGCGGTCAGAAGACTAGAAAAGCGCTAAACAGGTACAGACCCTTCACCATTAAACAGGACGGCGCCGGTACTTTGTGTCGGCGCCCACTGACCAACACAAAGATGATGAAGTTCCCCCCGGAGAGCCGATCGGTTCCACATGAGAGGAGCTGCTCCTCTGCGCTCGTCTGGTGGAGCGATTCAATATGACGACTGATGACGTCCCTGCAGCACGCTTTGTTTTCATTATGGTCCGTCGTGTCCCATCCTGCTTCAGCCCCATTAAAACTACCAGCCAGAAAGAAGAAAAGCCTCCAGTGGGCCGGCGGTTCCTGCAGGGAAAGTTGACTCGGGTCGCCGTGGCTTCCACTGATGATTTTGCATAATTTTGCATAATTTTTCCTGTTTGGGGAATTTGTGGGGGGTTTATCATCGTTTTGTCTGTTCTGCTGTATTCTTCAGATGTTGCATCATTTTGTTTGCTTGCCGGTATAATTTTGTAATATTTTTTCTGTTTTGATGATTTTTTAAGATTTTGCATAATTTTATCTGGTAATTTTTGTGTTTTCTCAAATAAAATATCTGTCACAGGTCATTTTTAAGATTTTCTTTTTTCATTTCGACAAAATTTACCAATATTTTGTCTGTTTCAGTGAATATTTCCTAATTCCCATAATTTTGCAGTCTTTATGTTTTTCCATCATTTTTCAGTTTGGTGTTTTTTCAACAATCATTTTGGGCTTCAGGAAACGTTACACAGTTCAGAAGTGTGCAGGCGGATTAGACTCTCAGGCTTCACACTCTACATAAGACGTTCACCAGCTCATAAGATGCAGAAACCAGATGCACCACACTGTGTGTTTCAAAGCCAGCATCTTCTTTAGCAGAATATTTTTTGCTACAACACCAGTTATACCTAGACAGGAAGTGGCAGTTGTTTACTGCGGTGCCTTCAATAACCTCCACCAATTAGAGGTGGTGCAGTCTGCCAGTTACCAGCGAACACGTAACACCAGGAAATGTGAATTTTAGAGATTGCTTTGCAGTTGCTGGCAAGCTGAAAAATGAATACATTTTAAAGTAATTATGCAATGAAGCACTGAGTTAAAACAAAAGAAGAAAAGTCTCTCTCTCTCCGCCTTTGATCATCCTCCTCTTCCTCCACTTATAAATATTCATCCCTCTCTTCAGCGCAGGGACGCGAGGCCTGGTCGCCGTTTGGCACAAATACTGTTTACATCAACACATCTGTGAAATTAGAAAGAGCTCCGCTGTGTCTGCGGCGCCACGCTCACCAATCGTTTCAGAGTAACACGGTAGACCGACAGAACCTTCAATTAAACTCACTGGACTAAAAAACAGTACATCGGGGATGGACCACTCGGGGATAAGAAAGCCGGATCCAGGAAGTTTTGTGGCCATCGCACCATTTATCTTCACCTACGATCAAACCTGAGCACCTTAAACCATCTGGACTACTTGGACCTTGTACAGGACCTGGTCTAAAGCTTTCTGGATCAGTTGGATCCACGCTGAATGCCAGTATTTGGACTTATTCTTATCAGGCAGATCCAGGAAAAGAAACCTGGTGCATCTGCATGGATGGAGCAGGATCAGAGCTAGGAGTCTTCCTGAAGAGTTCTGGACCAGTTCAACTTGGCTTTTTAAAGAGTTGGAGGCAGGACAGGAATGTATTGTTGAGTTCTAAGACACAGTTCTGCATCATTTGGATCCAGATTTGTGTCCTTGGTGGACCTGGTGTTCTGTCTGGGCCCACAGTCTTAGGACATTGGACCACTTCTATTCTGAGAAGGTTGCTGCAGTTTAAGCTAAGAGACTAGAAGCAGAATCCTGCCCGTGTTGAACCTTGGCCTACAGACCTGTTTCTGAGATTTGGAACTTTTAGAACCTGGGTTAAGAGTTCAGGATCGAAAACCTAAAGATTAAAGGTTTCCAGGGGAGCTTGATCCAGGATGCTGCAGATGGGACTTCTTAAAATGAAGTCTTATTCAGCCTCGAACAAAGTTCAGATTAGCTTGAAAAGTTTGCTCTTGTGGTGCGTTCACAGGTCGCCAAAAAGCTTCGACTTCTAAGCGTCTCAAGCTGGTAAATCACAGTAAGAGATGAGACGGAAAGACACATTTGTGCAGGGAGACGGATTGTGTGTCTCTTAACTCTTTGACTCGGATCGTTTCTCTTTGTCTGGTCGTGTTCAGAGTTCTCATCCTTCAGTCCAGACGGCTCGACAGCGCCGACTGGCACAACCAATCCGTCACAGCACCGACACCTCTGATTTACAGCAGACCTCGGTGTGTCCCCGTGTGTGTGTCCCCGTGTGTGTGTCCCTGTGCGTGTGTCCCCCTGCGTGTCCCTGTGTGTGTCGACTGGTATGTCTCCACAAGAGAGAACAACAAGAGGTGACGTTAAATGCTACATAGAAAGTGGTCTCCATAAAAACTACACATGACACCTGAAGGAAGCCAGAAGACACATGAACACCTCAGCAAAGTGGCATCGCTATCATTTAAAGCTGCAAAGCACCACGTGCAAACATCTGTATCTCCGACCTCTGAGTGTGTGTGTGTGGGACGACCTACTGTGTAATGAGCCTCACACACACACACACACACACGCACGCGCGCACACACACACACACACACACACACGCACGCGCGCACACACACACACACGCACGCGCGCACGCACAGTTAGATGTTTATGGTCTATTAATTAGCCTCAAACATTAGCAGGAGGCAGCGCAATACACACACACACACACACACACACACACATGTGTGAGGGGCTGTTTAGCGTTTCATATGTGTGTGTATATGACAGCAGTATGTATGTATGTACGTGTGTTTCAGGCGCGTATGTATCATGTTTTATACATATACATTTTTTTCAGAACCATCCTTAAATATACAGATGTTTCTATCACGTGGAGGTTATTTTCATCTGGTTTGATCTGGTGCGGAAGCTGAGCTGTCACATCCAATTGAATGTTTTATTATTGCGCTGAAAGCGTCTGTTTTTAGTCCAGTAAGCCGAGTGATCGTTTGTGAACAGATTCTGCTGAATATTAACGTGAAGTTAAAGAGGAGTTTTTTTAAAGATTTCTCGTGTGGATGGAGACGGAAGTCTGAGCATCAGAGAGACAAATATAAACACAGAGACAGAGACGACGCCTAAATATACAGAGATACAGACAGGTAGAGAGACAGAGAGAGGGGGTGAGACAGGTAGAGAGAGTCAGAGAGAGGGGGGTGAGATAGGTAGAGAGAGAGGGGTGAGACAGGTAGAGAGAGTGAGAGAGAGGGGTGAGACAGGTGGAGAGAGAGGGGGGGTGAGACAGGTAGAGAGAGTGAGAGAGAGGGGTGAGACAGGTAGAGAGAGGGGGGGTGAGATAGGTAGA